TTTCAGCATGTTAACTTTCCTTATGTTCCCGTAGTTGGGAGGGAGCCTTAGAGGTTCTTTTTATAACCTCTTCTTCTTCTTATTCTAGACATTTTACGCTTCTGTAGCAAGTGTTTTGATGGCTGTCAACTAAGTGTTCTAGATGTACTTCTACAGTAATTAATTGAAAGCTTGCTATGTCAACCAATGCATGAACTTGTATTATAACAAGCACAATGATACTCTATGCCCAGGGAAGTTGAGAAAATTTTCAACCTGAAAGATTTCCTCGACCGGACCGGGAATGGAACATGCTGCCTCTGGCTTTGGTAATACCGTGCCTTTACTGACTAGGCTATCGAAGACTTTAAATATTTTATAGATTTGATTTGTTTTTTAGTTTGTATTACTTCTGCGAGAAGTTAATGGTTTACATAGTTAACGATGCTAATTTCAAATAATAGACTAAAGTGGAAGTTTTATACGATAAATGAGCAGATGAAAGTATAGAGGTGATAGTTCAGTTAGAGTACGGCAGTGTGAAAATTGTATATAGAGAGTAGAAAGCGAGCAAGGACAACATTGAGGAAGGTACAAATCGGGTTGATCATCTCTTTTTACCAAACTCCCCCGTTGGAAAGGGATGGTGGGGGGTATCTCCTTCCCCGCCACCACCACTGGCAAATAGAGATGATCGCCGATTTGCTCATGTACCGACGATGTGTTTGAAACAGTTCTATCGATTGTACCGCACTCAAGTTGGATGTTATATGAAGGGAGGCATCCATTCGTAGGTTTGGCAATTGCAGCTATTGTTACCTCTAACACGGTATGTGCTCCTGTCTATTATCTGACGTGTGGAAATTGGAAAATTGGTAACGACAATGCAATGCTCATTTTTGTTTGTCAAACTTTGTAAACTTATCAAACAGAAATGATTGAATAGTTTATTACTGAATTATAAGAGGGGATGGATGGCATTCACTATCACCACATTACACAATCTGCTGATTTGGTGAATGAATACTTTTTGTGCAGATCTATAATAGAGTCTTACATTTCCTGGTTTGGTGCTAAAATATCCCAAATTTGTTATCGAAGTCAAATCTGCCCGCCTTTGAAGTCCTCCAGATATGTCCCAAAGTTCACCGAACCTAATAGAAGTGCACTTCACCCTTTACAACTCGATACTAGAATTATTTAGGTCCACCTTCAACCTAGTGTTGATTAATTCAGGGAATAAAGGACTCGCTTTTAAAGACTTCTGAACCTGAATATATAGTCCTTCGTGAATGTTTCCTAGATTTTGTTTATACAAAAACGGAACACTACACTATCTGGAATTGATGTCTCTGTAAGGGATTTGCTATCGGCTAATTATGTCTACACTCGATAATCATGACAAGCAAGCAAGTTTGATAAATTTTCAATAGTTTACTATTGATAATCAATCATAATTTTAAGTCTCAGCCAATCTTGGATGGCTAAGTTATAAGCATTTAAAACATTCCATGATTTCGTGATGCTACTACGATGAAATCTATACCAACAGTTGAAATAGGCGGAAGGACAAGATTGATAGAAACACACATTTCTCTAGAATCGAAACACACCCACGCAAACTAGCAATATCATTCGATAAAGGAAAGTTTGATCCATGTGTTAGAATGCTTGGATGTATTTTTACTCTCGAGCAATTTACGCCTAAAGCAATTCGACAGTGAGCATACATAAGGGCCTAAGCGCGATTATCGATTCTCTTCGTCGATTTTCTTTTTTGCATTACTACAGCTAAAGGTCCGTTTAGACTATCTGATTTCTTTGTCTGATTTTGACCACCGCCATAATGGAAAATCTGCTCGAATGTACTTTCTACACACTTTGTCGAACCCCCCCCCCCCCCCTGTTTGCTGGTGTTCACACTGCTTGTACATGTCGAAAGAACTGTCAATTAAGATTTCAAAACAAAACTGTATCATGAATCAAAAGTAAATACATCCATCATGAATTACCGGAAAATAGCTCTAGCTTCGGCAGGCGTATTAGCTTTTATTATTTTAAATGAACTTTGTGGAGTAGGATATGGTTGCTCAGGAGGAACACCAGAAAGGATCTAGCTCATCTTGTTCTTCAAGAAGTGTGATATGAAGACGAAAAAGGATATCAAAACTTCGCTAGAATGTCGATACCAACTTTCGACTAACTAAAGGGAAAAGTTCTCTACATGATTGAGTTCTGTTAAGAACTCAATTCTTCATATTTCTCTGAAGATTTTTGTATGTTTTCTCGTAAAATATATTTAGAGATCAACAAACTTTCCTGAAGATACGCAAATTTCTCGGTAGTTCTACAGATTTTTAAAAGTTCTGTGTTCTTCATAAGTTCTGCAAAATTTCCTGAATCCCTGCAGATTTAAGATCCTTAAAGATCAACAATTATCTCTGATGCTCACTAAGTTTATAATTATATACGAACTACTCGAAAGTTGTGTAATTTTCTCTGTAGATTTTCATGATTCAATGAATAACTGCCAATATCTCTGAACATCTACACAATTCCCTAAAGTATTAAAAGTTTATCTGGAAATTTTTGAGCTTCCCTGAAGTTTTAGGAAGTTCTCTGAAGATCCACTATTTGTTCTGAAATTGTGCAAGTATCTCTGAAGATCAACGAACTTTCTTGAAGTTCTGTTAACTACTCTTAAAATCCAAGAATCGCAATAAAATTCAGAAAATTTATTTAAACATCTGCAGATTTTTCAGTAGATTAACGATCTACACTCTGAACTTTTTTGAAGTTCCTCAAATTTCTGCAAATATATTTAAAGTTCTGAAAATACCTTTAAAATTCTGTAAAGTTTTGTGAGGCTCCGTAGTTTTCTATTCTCAAGATTTACGAAAAAAAACCTTGAGGCTCAATAAATTTCTCAGTAGATCGGCAAACTTCTCTGAAGTTTTGTAAATTCCTCTGTAGGCTCTCGGGCTACAAAATCTGAAAATTTCCCTGAAGATCTTTTAAATTACCTAAAGTTCTCCAAATATATCTGAAAATATTAGAGATTCCTTGAAGTTTTAAATGTCTCTTTCAAAATCTAAAAAATTCTCTGAAATCGTATATTTAAAAAAAATCGCCAGATTTCCCTGAAGTTCGACAAATTTCAATGAAGATTCATTAAAATTTCTGAGATTCTAAAAAAATTAAAATCTACACGCTTTCTTGAAGTTTATCTGAAGATCTATGACCATTCTTGTGATTTTTTCAGAAGTTCTGTATTTTTTTTTTTCAAAGTTCTATAGCTTTGTTCAGAAGATCTACGAACTTCACTGATATTTAAAAAAAATTCAGTAGATCTCTAAACTTCTGTGAAATTTCTGAATATGTGCTGTTTTCAAGATCTACGAACTACCCTGAAGCTCTGCAAATTTCTCAGTAGATCTCCGAACCCCTCTGAAGCTCTAAAAAAATCTTAGTAGGCTCTCAGACCTGCTGTCTGGCATGTTTATTCTCCTATAATACATGCTTCGTATCAATGAGGTACAGGGAGAGGTGAAGCAGATCGTGAAATATTGTTGTATTAGTAAACCCAAAAATCAACGTAAACGCAAGTAGTGACTTCAATAATTGCTTGTATCGTACAGGGGTTTTACTCACACAACTTAACCGATTGCTTCACCTCGGTAATCCAGCTCACTGGCTTCGTATTACATAACCACTGTTTTGTTGACCAGGCCATGATCAAAGCCATTACGGTATTTTTCGGCCAATCACACTGGAATATTAAAAATCAGTCAAATTATACACAGGACAGTATTGAATAGTGAAATCGGTTTACCTTACTGCTGGATGCCATCAAAACACAAATAATGCGTTATTTAGCAGTTCAAATCCGTGACATTTTCGGGGAAAAACCAACATTTTAACCTCACTTGCGGCTATTTTGCTGAACAAGTCGAATGAAAGTTAAACGCAAACCTATTTCGTTCGACAAATCAAGCGTCAAATCTCATCATCATGTCGAAGAAGTGTGAACGCATCCGAACTCTGCATCTGACAAAAATTATCGAATCAGACCAACAAATCAGATAGTCTAAACGCACCACGAAACAATTTTTTTATAATTTGTTCAATGCAGAGTTGTAACAGGTTGTAGTGGCTATCAAAAGCAACAGCAAACGCATCGAGAAACGTTAATTCTAGCGAGTTATTAACTTAAGAGAAAATCGACGAAGAGAATCGATCATCACGTTTACGCCCTTATGCATGCTCACTGTCAAATTGTTTACATTTTGTTGTTCCGCATATTTCATTTGTCGATCTAGAAATGGTACTTCATACCTTCGAGCAAGACGTAGTCCTACGTAAAAAAAATGAGAGAAACCACGACAATTTTTATTTATGAGGAATTCAAAAAATAAACAAAATGACATACAATTTGGTAAGAAAAGCTGCAATTTTTTTACCGATGCACAGAACCTCGGAAAACACATAATACATATTTGTTTTTAACAATTTACATGAATAATATTGATATTGATTGTTAAATGTGCAAAATTTTGTGCCAAATTATCACCTACACGGAACATGGAATTCGCATGGATCTGCCTGAGGTCGCTGCAATGCTGACACGAAAAGCGAAGCGTTGCGTCACGCGTCCAAAGGAATTTTTATTATTGATATTATTCTTCACATTCTATTTGAATCTATGCTCGACGATTCGTTTCGCGTTCCGTGTCAGCTTGGGCAGCGACCTTGGGATTTCTCGAATTAAGCGTTTTGTACAGTAGCTTCCCGAAATGTTGTGCGAGCTGATAAAATGTGTAACTTCAATTTTAAAACTGGAAGGCAGCTAATAATCTGTATCAATCAAAAATGTTTTATTCTGGTGGTTGTCAGCATTCAAGATACATTATTGTATTTCCAGCAAAATTTTCAAATTTATTACAAAATTCATTCAATGACAGGTGGTTATGACAATATTTTTTTTGTTTTACCGTATTAAGCCCCTGTATTTCCTCCCTTACCTATTTTTTTTAACTTTTATTTTCTGCTGACAAATCAGGAGCACTATCGTCATACGATTCAAACTATCGCGATTCACTTCAATTCATTCCACGAAAGTAAACAGACAGATATTCGATACCGTTTTCGTCGTCGTCGTCAAATTTCTTCCACTCCTTCAAATTGCACAGTACACCCGGAGGAGAATGTTGTGTTTGAACTTACTTTCCTCTCTTCTTCGGCAATCCACAACAGATCAAAACCTTCCAGTGTTGGTTGGTAGTCGTTGTAATTCAATCACTTTTTTCTCTTCTTTCTGTATTATTATTCCTCGTTTCACGTTTCCCACGATACAGACGTTCGAACGCAGATCAGCATGGGTTGGATACAGATTGAAACGACCCAAACACACACCTGTAGGATTCTGGTCGTGTTTTTTTTTCTCACTCCTGCTCAACAACTGCTGAAATTTGTGATGAAGAATTTCTTCAGCCAGCTTCAGCACCACACAACACACATACCTACACTTTGTTTCGTTTCAGCTTTTTTATCCGGATCGCATCACAAAACTAACCCTTATTATTTTCTTTTAATTAGCTATCATCAAGCATTAATTCCGTTTATTTCACTACGATTTTACCACCGAATCTTCATTGCCAATTTGAACTAACAATTTTTCAGCAGTTTCACAATCTAGGATCTCCCGATCTTCTCGCCAAACTCGATCTTTGTATACAACATTCTCCAGCAGCCCACAAAATCGTCGCTGTAGTTGTGTTGTGCAGCTAGGTCATGTTCTGCTCTTCCAACAAACCCAACACGATCGTTTTCTATCTTCTTGTATTCAAACACGCGCGTCTTTTGGTTCACCGCATCGCCAAAATCTTCGCCTGTGTGGTTCAAACGATCGGTTCTTGTGAATGAATTAACACCACTACTAGCACTTTTGCTGGATCTGCTGCAGCAGCAGCAGCAGCAGCAGCGACGGACGAACGCTGCAGAACAATAACGGTAAAACCACACTGCCTGCCAACAACACACGCACACAATCAGCAACCACGCAGAGTTGCTGCCAGCAGAAAGGTGTGTGGTGATCCTCTGTTGTGTAGAATGTAGCACTGAGTGATAGCACACTAGGCTACGAACAATCCAACCGAACGCGACGACGATCAAAACACGACTGATTCGGGTAGCGCAACATAAAACCGAACCAAGTGGGCCGCCGGTGCTTGGAGGAACCGGAGCGTTCGGCTTCATTCATGCTGATGAATGAAAGTGGAGTAAACGAAGTGAACACGAAGGAGAAAGACAGCTGCTCGCTTTTGAATGGATGTGAATGTTGTTGCCTACCGGTAGGCGTTGGTAGAAGGAATAATCACCCTGAAGGGGCGGAATCATAGCAGCTGTTGCCGTCCGTAAAAAACACACCCAATGCCCAAGATTCAGTTGCAATTAACTAAAACAAACATCTCTAGAGTAACATTTGAAATGGGCCTATGACAAAAACGAAAACAAACCAGAAAATTAATTTTAAATTTTTCCACCGCTATTCAATTTATATTCAAGAAAACTGAAGTATTTTAGGCATTTATATTGTTCACAATAACAATATTAACTGTATCTCAGTATACTACATCCAAAATATGCGAAAAGCTTTCAAAAATATAAGAAAATCGATAACAATTTAATTTCATAAATTAATAAGTCTTCTTGTAAATTTTTCAATGGATAGACTTTTTTGTTAAGCCGATGTGCTTGTCATCAGAAATAGTACGCCCTTTGCTAAGCCTTTTCGCAACGTCAAATAAATTCAAAACAAATCATCGACCCTGCCTCAAGCAGTAGGGCCTAGCTTTGGCTTTAAATTTTTCAATCATCGACCCTTCTACGTCACTAGACTTATCAATGAAATGAAATGCAATAAATGAATGGTTGGCCGTTTTAGCGTGAAAAATTAAAAATTATGAAAAAAAATTCGTTGATCGGCCGTTTCGAAAATCAAGTTATTTTTAATGATCAAAACACGATTTGTTAACGTTTTGGACATAGGTCCATTTCAAATGTTACTCGAGATCTCTTTTATTTTTTGACTTTATCAATTATAATCCGTCAATTTAAAAAAAAAGATTGTTATACCTATTCACGAATCTTACTAATAAAATCAATAAAACAACCAGTTGCACAAGTCGGGCAGTTCCTATCGAGGTAAGCCTAAAAGCACACATTTGTGCGAGTGTATGGATGTGTGCATTTACGCAAAGGCGCAAAATTCGATACTATGAAAAACGAACACGTGTTCTCAATAAACGCAAATAGACACGGTTTAAAGTTGATCCAAGCCGTAAAATTGTATAGATTGCTTTTTTCATTTACATTTTCTTGAAGTTAACAATGAGACCAGGCACCTGGGACAAAACAAAACAAAATATTAGTCCTGTTGGAATGAAACAGCAAATCGTTTTCAATCAAAGGTGTCTATTAAGTTCTACACGCTATTTCAAAACTACCCAAATTTGGGTAGAATCCACCCAGATCCGTCAAAACTGAACTCACCCAAAAATGGGTAAACTGTGTTGGGAGTGACAAGTTGACAAATGAACAACGTTGATCGGTATGATGTCAATGTTGTTCATTTGTCAACTTGTCACTCCCAACACAGTTTACCCATTTTTGGGTACACGGAAATGAAAAACTACCCAAAATTAAGTACTTTTCCCTCAATTCTTGGGTTCAGCCCAATAACCCAAATTTGAGTAAATCGCATATAGTAGTTTCCATTTAACACCGGCAAAAAAATTTACCTACTCTTAAGTATATTCTACCCAAAATTAAGTTTAATTCACGTAAATTTAAGAATATGCAATTTACTCAAAAGTAACTTATTGGGCTGAACTATATCGTTGGGTCGAATTTCTCGTTCCTTTTTTGACAACAATAACGAGTGCAAGTGAGAGGCTGAAGTCAACATTAAGTTAAAAGAACTCAAATTTTGGGTAGTATTCTTTCTCCGTGTAGGTTCAGTTTTGACGGATATGGGTGAATTCTACCCAAATTTGTGTAGTTTTGAAATAGCGTGTACATCTTTTCACAATGTATAGTGTCTCTATTTGTCATAGCAAGAAACTGTTGACAACGTTTTGATCTGGAAGGATTGTTTATTCAGTGGCTAAAGTTTCATCAATGCTTGGCATGCACAGTTGTACACACCAACTGCTCATTTGTTAATAAGTTTTCACTCAGTTGTTAAAATTCGATTTTCTTTAAAGTTATTGATAGATTAATATCATAGTTTACTATAGATATGCAAAGATTAGGTAAATCTTTACACTTGAATCAACACCAATGAATTTTTACACTTAAAGACCGAGATGTGCAACGAGCATTTCTCACTTCATTTTTGCAACGCAAAAACAAATACAGTTTATTATTAGAATTAAAATCTACTTTTTTTTACGTATCTATAACAAGCTTAAGCTTAATTTTATCGACTGCTTCAAACAGAACTATGTTTCGTCAATGTGTGCAAAGTTATTAGCAAATGAGCAGCTCGTGACCAAAACGATGTATGCCAAGCATGGTTTCATCATCTCAATTTTCCAAAATCGACTGTAAATACCGTGCTTAAACGTTACCGGAAAACACTAAAGTTTGATCTCGCAAAACGAAACAAACGTAGAAGTGGAACATATGAACGGAAATTACGAGCGAAGGTCATTTGTGTAATTCAAAAAAATTCTGGGATTTCCGGACGTGATTTAGTAAAAAGGTTAAATGCGGCGCACAGTACAGTTCTGTGAATCTGTATGCGAGAAGGTTTTCGGTCGTACCATGTCAGCAAGCGTCCAACAGGGTCGCGATTAATCAAAACCTGGTTGCCAAAAACCGTGCCATAAAGCTATACGAGTAAGTTCTGACAAAAAAAACGGACATATTTTGATGGACCATGAAACTTACGTAAAAATAGACTTTGGACAAATTCCTGGCAAAAATGTTACCGTAAGGGGGATGCTCCGGGTTAAAATTTGTCTTTGCAGATAAATTCGCTCGTAAGTTGATGATTTGGCAAGGCATCTGGAAAGAAAACAAAAGTTTTTATGACTGAAGCGACTATGAATGGACCACTTTACAAGGAGGAATATCTCCAGAAGAGAAGTTTAATATTTATTCAGTTACACGAAAGTCCCGTAAATATCGATATTATCGAGCGTATAGTTATCTTCTAACAGTCTACAGTGAGTTTGATGCACCCTATTTCGAACAAACCACCAGACGGAAATCTTAATGTGTATTGCATTCTATGTATGTCCTGTAATAAGAGCGTTCCGTTGGAAGGAGATTCTCTATCCCTACAGTGGATATCGTGTAAGTGCATCAGCTTACAGGTCCCCTGCGCTTCGGTCAGAGAGCGTATAGGGCGTCGTTGTGCCAATTTGGTTGTGGCACATTTCGAGTATGAGAGAGCAATTGCAGTTAGATCAAAAGTGCCTGAGAAAAATGCAAATACTTTCGCAAATTACCCGAAGTTGCGATAGTGAAGGTATGATCACAGACAAGCAGACATAACAATCTTAAAACCTTCATCGAAATCGTTTTTAACGGTCAATTTAAATGTTTCTTAGTTGGTAGTACCGCCACTTGTGGTGCACATAATCAATTCCCTTGCTTTTGACGTTTACACACTACAGCCTTCTGTAGATGACGGTGTGTTTACAATGAGAAATGTTCAATGTGTTGTGTCTGTTTGTCTGTGATATAACATTGAGGTAACGTTAGGATTAAATCAAAACATTGAGAAATATAACGCATCACTTTCAGAAATATTTCACTTCGCAACCGATGAACCATTCTGACGGCCATATGAGTCCCCAAGTAACCATATAGTCGCAATATAGCTTGTATATTCTTACTTTGCTTGACTATGGTTAGTTGGGGAATGTGATGAAACTGTCACTTCTTGAAACTGATCCCTTTCGTATTTCTTTCATTCTCTTTTCGCACACGGAGCGCTCGGTGGAACAGCGACTTTGGACGTGAGCCTCGTCCCAGATCACCATGGCAATTCATTTCAATTCAATGAAACCGACCAAAAAAGGCGGAATCATATTAGAACCAACCAAGGACGATCTACGGAAGGAAATTGCCGGTGAAGCACGGAATGAAATACGAAGCGTTAGAGAAAAAGTCCAAGGGCTTCCAAAAGAAGTAATCAACGACGGCGGAAGAGCAGAATATGGTGAGAGCTTTCCAATTATTAAAAAAAAAATATATCAAAATTAAAGTAAATACATGCCAGGTTTGAAAAAATATATTTTCAAACCTGGAAGCGTGTATGTAATACCAATATCCATTTGATAACGGTGATGCATACATGCGGGGCTTATTGTAAGTGAAAGTAACCTCGGAATGGGCGTGACTCTCCAGACATTCTGAAATGGGTTGCTTAATCTGCAATAGAGCTATCACCTTCTAACTCCCGGACTAGCGCTGTCTACAATGACCATAAATGCGACATTGTACAGAGAGTTCTTCCATAATAACACTGCCGGCCAGTGGGGGTTAGATTGAATACACACAGTGCATCAGCTTACAGGTCCACTCCTCCGTTTTTGTCCCTTCACACAACGGAACAGTAAAGATTGCAGGGTTGCATAGTTTGATCTTGCCATTAAGAGGAACCGTACGTTATGGCACTGGTGGTGGCTGCTAATCACATCAAAACATTACTTACACAAAAGTCCCGTAAAGTTCTGGCCCGACTTAGCCAGCTGTTATTACAGAAGGGATGTCATTGAATGGTATAAGTAGAATAGTGTCGATTTTATTGAAAACGTCTCAATCAACCAAATTCTTCAGATTTTTGTGCCATGGAAAAATGTTGGACAATTACCAAGCATAAATCGAAGATATGACAATCATAACACCATCTGATTTGGAGAAGTTGTGGAAAAACATTACAGATAAAGTTGCCAGTACTACCATAGAGGTAACTCTAAGACCACTGGGTCCCGAAGAAAATCATTATTATTTTTGGCTCACTCAGTACCAGAACAACGGTCCCAAGCAGTCCCAAGCTATTTCACTCACCCCTGCATGTTCTGCATGAATCCACACACCCCTGATGTTATCTGTCAAACTTTCATAGCGAATCAAAACAAACAT